AAGATGGCGGCTCCATGACATGTTAGGCACACAAACGGCAAAATAGTTATATGACACTTTAAACAATTTCCTCGTAGTTTATTCATAGCAATACCTTCTTAAACATAAAAAAATATTAATGTGTTTTTGGGCTAGTAAATCTATTTCTTTATTCGTTAGATTTTTTTTACAGTATATGTTACGTATGATACCACAAATGTAAGTGATATATATTGCTTCCAGTGTGTTTGTAGTTTGACTAATACGCCAATTGTTTTCCTTTGTCATGTTGCTTTTTATCTGTTAAAATATATGTACCAATCCCTTTGTTATAACATAGTTTAGAGCTCACATTCTTCAGACCACAAACTATCATTTTGGAGAGGGGGCATGAACCTTTTGGGAAAAAACCGCGCACTCTATGCTTTAGTGATTTAACCGTTTAGCTGTAATGATAGAAACATTAGACACCTTAACGTTTCATGTAGCTTTCAGATTCAGATTACTTTTATGCACAACTTTACTTAATTATGTTTAGTTATACTGCATCTACTGTCATGACCTTTTCGTCCTCAAAAGGCAGCATAGAAAAAAGAAATCTTGTATGGCCAGTTTTCATTCCGAGGTATCACATTGCATAAACTGATTTTCTCATGGTTTGTCCAGTCTGTAAATTTATGGATGTTTGTAATTATTGTTAAGTGATCTATCAGACCTTTCCAAAACTTCAAAATTTATTAACTGTGTACGCGTAACTTATCGTGCACAAAATCGTATCTTGTACGTTTAACTTACCATCTTGTACCGTCCGAAAATTCCTAATTTCCATATCTAGTCCGGATTACGACTGTTTCAGACGTCAGTAAGCCTAATCGACCACGACATCGTTAAACGTGTATTCATATAGTATATGTTCACAATATACAACCAAACATTTTGAAACAATATTTAGAATGATCCCCTAAACGACTGTAAACCAATTTGTTGTATGCCTTTGACACGTATCTGTTAAACAATAACGACAAATGATATCGAAACAGGCTATAGCACTAATCATACGACAAGAAACAAGGTTGATTAAATCAAAAAATCAATTAGACCAGTTGTGAAGTGCTAAGGCAAGCTCCTTTCACCTGGGTGTCTGGGGTTCGATTCCCGAAACAGACGTGAAAAATGTTATATGGGGTCATATAGGTTATTTTGGGTTCTCCAGTTTCCTCCAACTGTTAGGCCCCTCACGCACTTCCCTAAGAGCCAACAAGATTGATGCATATAAGATAGAAGAAATCGTAGCTCAATTGTTGTAGAATTTATAATTTTATTTCAAACTAGACAAAATTAATTTTCCATTACTTCTTTAAAAAGTAGGTGGTATAAATGGGCACTTAAACAAAGTTACATTTCTAAACAATAACGTCTTGACGACATAGTTATCAATGCAAATATGTCACAGATATTGGGGGACGTCTAATGGCCGTCACTGAGAATCGAACACCATTGATGATATTTTTCGTCACTTAGTATTTCGAAAATCACAGCGATAACAACGTGCGTTAGGTACAGCTATGTCATGTTCTTTTTCCCCTCGATCTTTCTACTTATAAACCTTAAAGAGCCAGCATTTCCTTACTTTCGCATTGGTTATAAACAAAGTGAATAAAAGTAAAACTCATTCCTTTGTATATATTGTCCAAGTTGTAAATATGGAAGTTTCATCCGCCTTACTGTTATCGTCTCTCGGGTAACTTTTCTCAACAAGTACGACAGACAATTAAGACAACACATATTTGTAGGGAGTTATTGTCAATCAAGAGCTACACTCTTTTAACCGGAGTGCGCGGGGAAAACTCACGTGGTCGGGCAGTTGACGCCATACCTTATCACGTCTATTCCGGGAATCGAACCCCGGACAGCTAGTTGAAAGGCGATTGCATAACCACTGCGCCACCCAACTACCAGGAAAACTAAATCTTAAGCGATGCTTTAAAGAGGTACTACTTATATCATCAATGTATTCTGCGCAGAGGAGAATGTATCTGATTGGCTGTATCTTAATACAAACCTAAAGAAAGGAAGTCAAATACTACATCAGACAATATTCATGATTATGAATGCTTTGACTTTTTTCGAGAAAATGTTGTTAACACCATGACATGTTTTGCAACTGCAAACAAATAAGGGTTTTATTTATTTATTATTTTACATACAAGGTATTTTCTTTCTTAAAACATGATTTTAAAAAATCCCGATAATTTTGTAAATATTAGAATACTGATAGCATGACACGTTAGAGAATTTAAGAGAATATATGTGCAATCAATGTTTGTAATCTCCAATAATTGCCTCTCAAAGAGACTTGAAAATGTTATAGAAAATCAATATGTTTATGTTTTATCTATATAACCTATATATAACGACATTAATTTTTAATGGTTAATGTGTATTAGTTGTTTCATGCATGTGACCAATGAAATATGATAAAAATAGCAAGACTAAAAACCAAAACAAACATCCACATGTACACTCGGTAAAAGAATAGACTAACACAAACGTCCTGAACAAGTGCAGAAATGTAAAGCTTCTATTGCTTTATCAACAATGTAAATCTAGGACAACACAAACAACGTTAAGTCAGATTCTCAAATGGTAATCGGTATTATGACAATGACATTTTCTTGTGTACGAATGAGCGTAAAACAGATCTGACTTAACATCTCACAGGAAGGTCGTGATGGCGACCGAAATCAGGTCATTAATACACGTATTATGTTGTAGGTCTATTTCTATTGGTAAATAAACCAATCGATGCTGCATTAGATAACAAGTGACTATGAGCTATATTTATCTATATTTTTCAATTATTTATATTTTGCATAAATTTATTCTTATTCATTTTAGAAAGAAGCTGAAATGGAACAAGTCATTCGTAGTATTTGTCATGGACGGCAGCTCACCCTTCTGAAAGTCATCCTCATTTGTATGATATTCTTGATTTTGTAAGTATAACTACCGCAATTCCACTATTGTCTATATCAGCTACTTCAAGAAACCTGACTGAGTTTGTTGAAGTACCAAGGCATTTTATACCTACAAATATATAATTTGTGCATTCATGATAACCCCACGAAAACAGCAGATTGTCAGGCGTATTTCAAGCATCGGCATATTTGTACATTTACTTCTGTACGGTCGCCCATTTTCGTTTATAGCGCAGAATATAACATGTTTTATCTATAAAATACATAACTATGCATTGTATAAGAAGCAAAAACATGTGAAAGTGGTAATTAAATGTTATGCTTTACAAAACGTTGTTATCGTGACTTTAGGGAGTTGGCATCAAAGCACTGGTGTATATAGCGAGTAAACTTTGCTATCCAGATTACCAGAATATATCGGTATGAAATACCATGGACTTGGGTATAAATCTAGGTCCAAGGAAATATGTCTTAAATATGGACACGTGATTTATAGCATAGTATATCAATTTTCTGCTGTACAACACAAGAATATTTTCATATTTCTTTCCAAAAAGTATTCCTTTACTTTAAATATTACCCGGTTCAGCTGTGTTTCTTTTGTACAATCTTTAAGATAGCAGGTGGTAGACATAGTCCCCGAGGTTTGTCGTTACTTTCTTGCCCCGTTTTAATTCACTCGAATGGTTCAGAACATGCACATGACGCTGTTCTAAAATTATCTGATTTATGGAAATTGCAAAATTTATTTATTTATGGAGCGGTTGTTCTTCCCTGTTTAGATTTAGACTTTTTTTAAAAAATCACTTTGGATTTTCTTTTAACCACATCCCAGACTTCAAACTTCAGGCCCTTAACATCACTGACGAGTCCCAGAAGAACAAACCAGCTATATGATGCATCGTTTGACTCTACTGTATATCTTTCTTAATTATGAAGTGTGTCTTTTGTACAATCACTAAGTTGTTGAATGTCATTTGCATTTATCAGAATAAGGCAGTCCTTTCTGTCCACGTAACACCTGGTTAACATCCGGGATATATGATTCTATGTTACCTAGCTGTCTTGTTTTATGTTTCTCAGTAAGCTGGGGATCGAATCGGTTTGTGATGATTCTGTTGTATCCATGAATAAGTCATTTCACTACAATAACCCTAACTGACATACAGGACGACAAGCCTATTGCTTGTTGTGCAGTGAAACCTCCGCTTCTAAATGGCGATGTTCACCCGACGATGATCCCAGAAAACAAAGAAATACTTTCTTTGTGGCTTACCAGTCATGATGGTACTTTGAATTGTTTATATTACCCAATGGTCACTGTTAAGAGTTCAGTTCTCTAATTTTCCCGTAACAGCAATGGAAAAGGGGAAAAAAAGACAAAAAGGGCTGTTTGTATTTATCTTTCACAAAAAACTTGTTCGATTGCATGATACAAAATTTAATTAAGAAAAACAGATATCCCGAAATGCCTGTAATTCGCAAATTGTTGTAAAATGCATAAAATCATGTGATAAATTAATCATATCAAGTGATTTTATTTCATAGCTGCTCTGTTTTTTGCTTTTCGAATATCCAGTTCGTGAACCTTGTAATGATTGACTGTAATCCTCGTTGGTCAAGTTGTGGTTTCAAAACACCAGGAAGTCATATGCATAGTAACGTCATAAAAAAATATATGGAATTAGAAAATCGCCAACGCAAAATTTTAATCAATCTAAGGAAATGTTCCCACGTTTATGTGCAAACGTTATGTGATCGACAATACATGGCATGAATCCAAAGTGTAAAGATATGCCAACTTGAAGATGTGACTAGCTATCTCCACAGCCAGCTATCCGTGGCGTATGTTATGTTATGTAAACAATGACCAAGGGATACAAGGAATATGTTGTTATATTTTATCCCGAAGTATTAATGCTGACACGCACCAAGACCAAGTCAGTAAATCAATATATTATCATTCGTAGATTATGAACCAATTTTATAATGGAAAGATGTATCCGATAAACAATAATGAATATTTTTTGTTTTATGAACAGGATGATAGTTCTAGACAATGTACATCGTGTGAAGACAACGAACGTCGCTCCCGACTCGGCAGATGAACAAAGATGGCAGGATTTATCAGTGCTGCAAAGAATTTCGGCATATAAACATGAAACAGAAATAAAAGACTTTACACGATTAGCAAATTCGTCGTTCTCGAAATTTTATCTGCAGAAAAAAAGTAAAACGTACAAAATTGGCGAAACAATCAAAGTAGACATAGCCCTGAAGGATGGCTTGGGTAGACCGGTTTTGTCCGGAGGTGACGTGTTAAGAATTTGGCTGAAACAGCCCTCCACCGGAAATAGTGTGAGCGGATATGTTGTTGATAATGGCAATGGCTCTCACACTGGTATTGTTGAAACGCTGTGGTTCGGAAAATCAGAACTGATTGTAATGATTGCAAATACAAAGAAACATGTTGGAATATTTTTAAATTACTTGCAAAATAACGGCATATTCTACACTATTGAGGCTATATTTGAAGATAAAAACAATACTAGACAGGTTGAAAAAACACCATGTAATGTTGGAATCAGATTTTTTGGAAATGCAAGTGTCTGTAACTTTACGAAGGATAATTTCGGAATGTCTTGGTATTGTAAGAGTCCAAAGATGTACAACTGCAGTGAATGGTTGTTTTACACCATGGACAAAAGTACGAACACCTTAAGCAAGGAGTCAGACCATCTGTTCAGGTAAGTCTTAGTAATGTTTGATTTGTTGATGGTTATACATTTGGTGGAGCGTTAATTCTTTGACAGTATATGAGGATGATCAGTTCTCCTCAGCCATTCAAAAATGCGTTTGAAAAAAGAAACAATAAAACTGGAAACAGAGAAAACTCCATGCAGTCAATCGCATATATCCTGGAACACATGCATGTGCACCAAACTCGCGACACGACCAACTTTACTATGGCACTGATGCACTTGAAAAAATGTTGTATAACATATGACTATTATTTGTTTGTTTTCGCAATCTTTGTCGTTCAAATGCTTGATTAGTAAAAGTTGTGCAATGTGGTGACCTGTTGTAGATAGTCTAACATTTGGCTTGTGAACACGTTTTCTGAGGGACATATTAAATAGAAATAGGCAAGTACCCTGGCTTGTCGTAGTTATTCATTTGTTGATAAAATGTGTTATTTTTCTACAAAACACACGATTGAAGATGTGTAAATCGTAACGTAAAAATAAATGTATATTTCTGTTATATGGTTAACATTGCATTTGTTTTGGATAGATACGTGTTAAACTTTCATTTCCATGTAATCTGTCGCTCGGAAGAAAACAGTGGAAGCGAGTTAATGTTCTTGTGCAATGTACCTATTAGCCGCGTTGCGCCGATCTTGAAATAATAATACAGATCACATACCTTTTATACCCTCTTAAAACCGTTTTGCATCAGAAAAGAAGCAGCCCTCCATGCGTAGTCAACTTTCTTTGTGTGTAAGACATGTGTTTTGTCAATACAATATCAAAAAAGAGAATCATAACCGTTTATCTTACATTTTTAGGAATTATGTATTTAAGAAGATGAAGATGAACATAACTATAGAGGCCGGTAAGTATTTTCTGAATTATTTATGTATATTGTTAATATGTAAACACAAAACGTTAAATACAGCTCTTTTCATTATTTCAGTTTATTTGTATCAAAAGAACCAGCTGTATACAGTTATAAACTTTTGATGAGGTCGATACATGAACTATAGAGAAATTTCGATATACGCTAAAGTACGATTGTCGTGAAAATCACGTTTTGACCGTTAATGAGCTTGTTTCTTCGTACAATTATACGTTTAGGCATAATACAAAATCACAAGAGAGAACATTTCTCCTATCATTTTTTATAACCGGATGCATTATAGCAAAAAATGAAATGGTGCCTAAAATGATTCTGGTGAATTATAGATGTATCTTGATTTATTTTTTTCTGAATTCAAAGGTAAGAAAACATCAATTTGTCTAAAAATAAAATTCAAAGATTTTACGTCTTTTTGACCGTGTTAGTAAGGTTTTTGAAAAAGAATCAATGAGTTATTTCCGGAAGACAGTTTTATTTTTGTAGAGCTAATATTGAATATCTCTTTCATCAAATCTTTTAAACGAAGTTAAGAGTATACTTGAATCATGTTGTTCGTCTGTCTGTTCGTTTGTACATCAGTACTCAAGTATATATATGTGTGGTTTGCAAAGTTCATTCAGTCGAAAATTTTCGTTCATATAAGGATGGAAATGCACAATTTATCATCAGGCTTCAGTGCACATGTGCTGGTTTAGTGACGGAGTTAATGGAAATTAATATGAATTTTGACGTTTGATTAATAGGACGAAACGTTAACCGCACGAGTCATGTGCGGAAGAACGTTAATACGTCCGTTTGTCTGTGTACAAGATCATGTTCAGAAGTCTCCTAGTTTTCATCAAACCTTGTGAAACTGTTGATGAACTCATCAGACGCTGAAGGTGTGCATCTGCGCTTAATTTTTCGTCCGTCTGTTTTATTTTTGTTGTGCTCGTTCTGCTGTGATTGTAAAATGAATGATGTAGGAAATAACGAAAATCTTTTGAATATGTATAGGAATGCTTGGATTTTGTCCCAAATGGATGTTAAACATTTTTGGGTAAAGGAGAATCAACGTCGTACAAGCGGTGGGTCTCGACCCATTGGGATTGGAGTGGCGGGGTCCTATATTTGATTGAAGATTTGATTTTGTATAAATGATGGGTCTCGGCCATTTTGGATGGGAGGAAACTGCCTAATAGAAGAAATAGAAAAAAAATCGTTAGATTATTTTGTCTTTATTGAGAATACCTTCATTCTGTCTTGATTTGATCTGAAGAGTACCTGGATGAAATAAACCAAATCTTGTATACACAAGAAGTTTTACCTTCTGGAGACCAAAGGTGTGATGCCTAATACAGGACAGGTACATTGTAGTAAGATGTTAAAAATTCCGTTTTATGATATTGTCTAAGTTTAACCTGAGACATTGTTGGGACAGTGGAACGCCTTCTTGCATAAACAGTGGATATGACTTTCAATTGACCACATAGCCAGATGCCAATATTTGAAACAGAGTAAGTTCTTTAAAATTATTCTTCTGCCTAGACTCTGTTCCAGTTTGGTGTGAAGCCTTTTATGTGATAGGATATCAACTTTGAATAAATGGTGGGTCTCGACCCCTAGCGCGGGAGGTGCAGGGTCTAATCTATTGCGCTGATAGGGCAAATGCTTTAAAATGCTACTTTTCAAGGCTTTACAATTTGCATCATTTAGAGATCCCCAAAATGTCATTGATGATTTTCTTTGATCTGAAAGGTAGCTGGGAAGTCAATATTTCTCTTGCATCAGTGCGGATTTCAACGTTAGTGTTAATATCTTCCCCTATAAGATGATGTGAACAAATACAATATGGTTGAGTTTTGATTGAAACTCTTCATACATAGTGTGCGTTTTGCATGGGAAGACTGGCCATGAGAAGATCATCTGGTGATAATAGTGGGATGTTTCGCCAAATATAATCATCAACACCAACATTTTGTACTTTGGGTCAAAGGTTGTGGATTTCTTTTCCGATAATTCTTAAAACACTTAGCACACATACCATTCTCTTGATCATCAGTAAAGTTATTGTCATCTGCTTTGAAAACATCCAACACAAAATTGTGCCGGGGAAGTCTTATATTTCTTGCAGATTTCTTGGTTTTAGTGTCTCTTCTAAAACAGCTTTACAACCCGCACCTACACATCTACCTCTCATTGTGAGAATGGTACTGTATTAGGTGTTTAAAGTCTCCGCCTTAGTAGAAAATGTAGAAAGGAGTGTAAAAAACAATTGATGGTATTTGGGTATATTTGGTATATATTATATTGTTGTTGGAAGATTGACATAGTAACTATGGGTCATATAATACATTGTATTTAACGTCCTAATTATAATTGACAGCTTAAGTCATTTAAGGCCACGTCGGCATACTTGTATGCATGCTAGGAGTTGTTATATATTAGGAAAGGCACATGTGTACATGAAAGTTTGGAATGTGACAGGTTGGTCTCCTTTGTCCACTTTGCCGTTCAATAAGTCATTTGAGTGATACACATAAAAAAATGAAAAAAAAACGTTGCACAAAAGTTGAAGTTTCTAACTCTTTGGACGAGGTAAGATTTCGAGATAAAGCTATCTATATGCTAAATACTTTTAATGGCCTGAATGTGAAAGACATTCAAAAACCACTTGTTCACAAAACTTTGACAATTTTCTCACCGAATGCTTAAATAATCAATAATATTGGCGGTATATTTTGGTATTTCGGCTATGGTTCGATCTTTCCTATTTCGTTTTAATAATTAATAATCTTTCATCTGTTTTGTAACAATCGACGTTCATAGTTTAGTAATTAAGTTACGTAATTAGTTAATTAGGCATGTGCGTCATCGATTAAGAGAACCAATTTGATGGCACAAAGCAATGTATCAATGACTGGTCTCGAAGTGTTAAAAATCTTTAGGCCGACCTCGATGGGACATTAGCATTGCTAGAAACCCCACCTTTCGTCGATAGCTTTCTTGAGTGCAAAGGGAACCAATTCTGTATAAACAGTTGACCTCGCCCACTTAGGATTGGAGGGGCGGGACCCAATATAGAAAATAGAGCAAATTCTTTAAAATCGTCCTCCGGAATGGCTGGATTTTGCCTCATCTTTATGTAAAGGATTCTTGTGTGAAATGAAAATAATAGGGTTCGACACCTTGGGCGGGATGGACGGAGCCCAATATGGGAAATAGGGCAGATTCTGTAATTTTCTGTTCCTCTTGTAGGAATGCATGGATTTCGTCCTAACTTTCGTCTGAAGTATGTTATGTCAAGGTGAATACATTTTGTATAAACGATGAATCTTGACCCCTAGAGGTTGGAGACGCGAGGCTCAATATGGAAAATAGAGCATACTATTTAAATTGTTTCTCCTTCTATTGGAACGGAAGAGTCCTGTCCCAATTTTGTTTGAAACATATTTGATGGAAGAAAATTCAATTGTGTGTAACTAATTGGTTTCGGCCCTTGGAGGAACGAGGTCCAATGTATGAAATGGCAAAAAATGGATTCCTTCTTTTTTGTCCGAATGCATTGGTGCTGTCCCTATTTAGTCTGATTTTGCCTTTTGCTTACGAAATAACAATGGTTGCCTCTACAAAGTTTGCTTCTCTCTCGATTGAATTAAGCAACTAACGGACGGAATTGAATCTGCAAGAGCGAAACAGACTGCTATGACAGCAGGAAGACAGTTTACAATATCTTACTTAAAACCAACTTGGTTTGTTTTCACCAAACAAGGTTATGAAGATTCTGAAGATAATTCCGAGACGGAAATCAGACGAGTAGCTCTTAAATATCTATTTTGATATTATGAACCACTTTCCACTGGAAATAATTGTCTCCCTAATTTTTCAAAACTTCGCTAGTTTAAAATTGACTGTTTTTCTTGGGTAGTGCTATATGATCATGGATTTACCTCATCAACATGCTGTGATTGTATATTATATTTTTATCTTATTTTGCAGATAACAAAGTCAAACTTCCTGTGTTACAAAATTGCATGCATATTTCCAAAATGCTGACTTGGCGTAAAACAACTCCGACTGGATTTTACAAGAATAATACATGGAAAAATCTTATATGCAAAAGTACACTGCAACGGACAAAAGAAGACTATTTTAAATGCCTGTCGGGACGACGTTTACTTATTCTAGGAGATTCTACAAACCGAATATGGTTTGTATACTTGGTTGGCTACCTTGGTTTAAAGTTCACAACTGGTCGATGGGATGAAATTAAGGATAAGTCATGGCAGAGGTATGCCCATGCAACACTAAAGTCACGAAATATGTCCATAGAGTGGGCACCACACGAACTTCCTTTTTATGGTAATCATCACTCATCCAGACTTAACGTCAGATCAGTAGCTTTTCGATTGGACGAGATTCCCGCAAATAGTTCTGACATTGTAGTATTACACTGGTACCTTCATATTGCTAGGGTTTCTCACAAGATTTTTAGAGAACATGTTCGAAATGCCAAGGAGTCTGTTATTCGCCTTCTTAAACGTGCTCCTAACATTAAAATTTTCATCAAAGGCCCACATGCTTTAACATATGTTACTAATATGCTTCCTTATGACTTTATTAGACAAATTGAACAACAAATACTTTTTGATGAATTTTTAGATTTGCAGGATCGCATAATATATTTAGACCAGTGGGATGCGACTGTCGCTAACGAAAATGTTCATGTTCATCCCAACATGTCAGTTAATGCTGATATGGTGCATTCCATGTTGTCGTATATATGCGGGAGAAAATGATAGAAAATATGCAAATTTATGTACACTATATATTTTCTCAAACTTATCGACATCCTGTTGGCTTCATTCAACCACTGAATGGTCGATCAGGTTGTATCGTTGTCAATGTGGCTTTGTGGACGTCGTAATCATTTATATCACCAAGATTGCATTCATGCTGTGTATAAATGCAATCTGACGGTCAGTCAATAGCAATATTTGTATTTCAGATCTTTTTCTTTCTAAGTATTTACAAATCTGTTTGATCGAATTTTCACATTTATCTCATATATATTATTTATTTTTTTATCGTTGTAAATAATTATTTAGAAATCTTTGATATTTATCTTGCTTCAAGTGAAGCTATTGCTGTGCCATTAGAGACTAAGCGCAAAATATTGATATAAAGTAGGCCAATATGGTGTCGATCGACCAAAAGGTCTAGAATCATGACTCTTGGGGATTAAGTTCCTATGAGGAAGCTCGAAAAGGAATAATATTGGGCCGTATCACCGATCACAGAAGTCAAATTGCAAGGCCTTGACATGACTTCCTGTAATCTAAAAGTCCCGAAATCATGACTATTGTCTGTTAGGTCTCCGGGCTGACGCCCGACAAAACATTAAAACAAAAATGACATAGACTATCATTTAAGGTAACAGACACCAGACATTTTTTTTGTTTTTGTTTTTGTTTTTTTGTTTTGTTTTTGTTTTTTTTTTTTTTTTCGTTTTTGTTTATTTTTCCAAGTTCACATAATACAATACAATAATACAAGTAGTATATTCATGATTGACTCAGCTCATGATCAACTCTTACATATGTAAAAGTAATTAATATACTTGTCAAACATGATATATTTATATCTTTTTTTTAAATTCATTTCTTATGTAAATCTAATGATCTAGATCCCGTGCTGTGGTGATAGATCTCCATTTTTCTCTGATATGGTCTGCCTTTGTCTGGGTATAAAAAAATGCACTCTGAATGTTTTTTCTTATATGAACAGTATTTCATGGTCATTCCCCTTATCGTTAACTTTACGGTTTCCCACAACAAGTGGTTATCTATTGAATATTCAATATTAGTGGTGTTAACATTATTTCTATACTGGTTAAGTGTGTCCGATATACATTCCTTAACTTTTGCAACATATATATTATCATGTAATAATGAGTTGTTGAATTTCCAAATGCCACTTCCTCGTTTTTGATTGATAAATTTAAAAGTAACTGAAACTGGAGAGTGGTCAGATCTATAACTTATTCCTATATCCGTATTGATAATAAAAGGGACTTAATCAGAAGAAACTAGAAAATAACCCAACCTTGTCTATTTTTGATGAGGACCCCTCCACGTATATCTTCTAATTCCAGGGTTCTCTTCACACCATATATCTAACATATCTAATGAAGACATCATTTCGTGGATTTTAGCTTGACTTCTAGGATTATTTTTTTGTTTATAATTAAGGTTATCAAGTTCATAACTTAGACACACATTCCAATCTCCACAGGCTATTATTGGCTTATTATCTAAAGTTTCAAGTTTTTGGTGTATATTATCAAAAAAAGCAGGAGTATCCTCATTTGGGCCATAAAGAGCTAACAAAGTTATTTTCCTATCGAAGAGTTTCATTTCAAATATTAGAAAATTACCATTAACATCCTTAATCTCCTTTAAAATTTAAAATTTAAATGTGTTATTAACCCCATTCACTTGCCCAATATTGCTCAATCTCTTTAGTAGAATGTGTATCAATTAGTACAGATATATCATATTTTTTCCTATAATTAATGAAAAAATCTCTGCTTTTTATTTTATCTGACGACAAATACCGACAGTTGCAGCAGCCATTTTTTAAATTATCATCCATTGTTATTTCTTATTAAGTTAGTTATTAACCAACAAAATATATACCACCACAACACTGGTTTAAGATATTCTTGACTTTTCAAGTTTAAAGTGAACTTTTTTTAAAACAACAATGAAGACTCCCCGTTCCCCCCACCCCCTGGTACAGATACAAAAATACATATAGAATTCCAGCTGTATATCTGTAGATGTGGCCAAGCCAGGCTGGCCCACTATTAACTACATACATTTATCCCCTATTTCATCCCCCTATACTTTACCTCCTATTTCTCTACTTACGTTTTCCATTCTGTTCACTTTCACACGAACCGCTACCACCCTCTCATATACCACACACCGGAAGTAAACAAATAAACCGGAAGTTATGTGAATCAATATAATTTCTCTGACGAACCAATATCTGTAGTATTTTATCATATCAAAAACAAGTATTCTCAAAAACAAAATCAAACCAAAAGGAAACAGTATCATTACAAGTCTAGAAAAAGTTTCGGTTACCTGTGAAATATGCTTGTCAATACATTGTACATTAAGTACTCTTATGTGTTACATTATTATCTATTCAGACAAACTATATCACACTGATTCAAATAATCTCGTATGATAAATATAATATATATACATATATATATATAATTTTTCCAGACAATAAATATTCAGCTCAATACCTTATATGTGGTATATCATATATAGTTTTTAAACATAAATCATTCTGAATTTGTATTTTATATAATACATATATATACATATAGACATGTTTTTAAAGATGATATATATTCTGAAATTCTGTCTTGGTCCTTACATATTTATACACATTATCATCTGAAAGCATGTATCCTTTTGACTCAAAACTGGTACCTTTTATATAACGTTCCGGACACCAAGTAATATAATTATGAATTTTTACTCATGTTATACATATATATATTAGGTCAGCATGTATTATTCTGAGTTAGTACTCTTTTATATATATATATATATATATATATATATGTGTGTGTGTGTGTGTGTGTGTGTGTGTGTGTGTGTGTATTTGTGTGTGTGTGTGTGTGTGTGTGTATTTATGTATCTATGTATCTATTCAGACAACATATTTCATTCTGATTCAGTACTATTTTACATTTATTTTTTGCAAAATAACATACAACATTTTTGCTTTGATCTCCTTTATAAATCAGAAATACAAATGTTTTGTAAATTTGTAAATCATTATTATTTTGTACCCATAGTTACCATAAATATTAATTGTCAATCAATATCTGATCCATCCAAATGTACAATGCTATTATTGTGTCCATTGTATATAACATCAGCTTGTTTTGTACATATAAATGTCCATGATTTCACAGATATTATTACTTACGCGGAAAATTGTCACCATTCATCAGGAAAGCATCTGTCAAAGGAATGTTGTAAAACAGTCTCCGTTTTTTTCCATTCCTTAGTAACGCATATAATTTTCCATCAGTACTCCAAGACCGTTCAACACACTCAAGTTCAAACGCTGCCTTTAACCTCTGTTGGTTAATACGAGTCAAGTCCTCCATGATGAAATATCCTGATCCCTTTAACACTTTCCGCTGCTGTATGACTTCTATTTTCTTCCTTCTACGAGTCAACTTACAAATTATGTTTCGTGGTTTTCCTCGCTGGAAGACACCAAGCCTATGGGCTATATCTATGTCTGCCTCTAAGATCATAACTTTCAGTTTGTACTGAACAAATCTTACAATTTTTCCAACACAGTCTTCAACGGTCTCATTTTTGTCAGTATCCTCAAGGCCTACAATCCGTACAGAGTTTTTTTCTGCTGTGTTGCTCTAAATCACTTTGCTTGCTTTCTAACTCAAACTTTTTTCCCTCGCAATCTGCTACTTCCTGCTCAAGTTTCCTGACTCTATTTCAATTCCTCATTCTGTACTTCTAAGTCTAAAACCCGGCCCTCAAGTCTCTCTACCAGTTCTCTGTTTTCTCTTTTAATTTTCTCTCTCAGACTTTTCATCTGTTGGCTCATGTCTTCTTTGAGTGTTGAGAGCATAGCAAATATGTTATCTAGTTTTTCATCTGTGGACATTTTTCCTTTGAAAATATCACTAATTCGTCCTGACTGGAGACCTTTGGATTGCCCTTTACCACCGCTAGTGCTAGCACTCCAGGTGGAAGCCATTTTTCGGAGAAAACAATTCAAACACGGTTCACTGCAGGAAACACCTTTCACAATATATACAGGTATCCTGGTGTAAAGTACAGGCAAGTTACAATAATGTTCACTGAAGCATGGTGAGAGGTGTTCTTTGTCCAAAAGTTTTTCCCTCAAAGTACTATATAGGCAGAAGAAATCTGCTCTAGAAACACCACAATTCTCTTCTACAATGCATTCAAAATCATCCATGCAATTTCCATTTTGAAAGTCAAATTAGTTGATGTATAAAAACACATTTCTTGTAGAGAGTAGTACACACACCTCAGCACTGTCCAGCTGACCTTGACAATCCAGACACCAGACATGTTAAACTGTCAAAAGAATACTTTTTTTTTTGATAATTATAAGAAAAAGGCACAAAATCATGATATTTTTTGGTCGGTTTCTCGGATAAAGCCTGACACGGTCTGTGAAAAAAGTTACCTTGACCTATATTCAAGGCTACCTCGTTCTAATCACTGTATGCTAAGGGTTAATATAATATTCATGATGGCAGAACTTGTATTGTATATTCCTATTCATGTTGATGTAAATTACAGGATTGATATGTTTTGTGTATATTGTAATTATGGTGATACCACAACGGATTAGTCATTATACTTCTATTATATAACTCTATATATATCATGTATAACCCACTTAAGTAAAATGTGTATAAGTTTATGTTTTGATCCGAAACATATTGATATAGTGTAGCGCTTAATGTATATAATATTAGTATACAATACAGTGTACAATATATAAATGTATATACTTGTGTAAAATACATGGAAATGTCGGAAATACCCCATTCAAACAAAACAGAGTCTGTGACCGCAAGCACTCACGTCCTGTCCTTTGGGACATGAATACACGTGCAGATATATTGTAAATGTATGTTGAGTAATGATAATCATGTCTAAATAAAGACCAGTATACACACTAGAATACATATCCTGTGATG